CACTGCTCAAAAAAATAAAGGGAACACTAAAATAACACATCCTAGATCTGAATGAATGAAATAATCTTATTAAATACTTTTTTCTTTACATAGTTGAATGTGCTGACAACAAAATCACACAAAAATTATCAATGGAAATCAAATTTATCAACCCATGGAGGTCTGGAATTGGAGTCACACTCAAAATTAAAGTGGAAAACCACACTACAGGCTGATCCAACATTGATGTAATGTCCTTAAAACAAGTCAAAATGAGGCTCAGTAGTGTGTGTGGCCTCCACGTGCCTGTATGACCTCCCTACAACGCCTGGGCATGCTCCTGATGAGGTGGCGTATGGTCTCCTGAGGGATCTCCTCCCAGACCTGGACAAAAGCATCCGCCAACTCCTGGACAGTCTGTGGTGCAACGTGGCGTTGGTGGATGGAGCGAGACATGATGTCCCAGATGTGCTCAATTGGATTCAGGTCTGGGGAACGGGCTGGCCAGTCCATAGCATCAATGCCTTCCTCTTGCAGGAACTGCTGACACACTCCAGCCACATGAGGTCTAGCATTGTCTTGCATTAGGAGGAACCCAGGGCCAACTGCACCAGTATATGGTCTCACAAGGGGTCTGAGGATCTCATCTCGGTACCTAATGGCAGTCAGGCTACCTCTGGCGAGCACATGGAGGGCTTTCCCGACCCCCAAAGAAATGCCACCCTACACCATGACTGACCCACCGCCAAACCGGTCATGCTGGAGGATGTTACAGGCAGCAGAACGTTCTCCACGGCGTCTCCATTCTCCACGTCTGTCACATGTGCTCAGTGTGAACCTGCTTTCATCTGTGAAGAGCACAGGGCACTAGTGGCGAATTTGCCAATCTTGGTGTTCTCTGGCAAATGCCAAACGTCCTGCACGGTGTTGGGCTGTAAGCACAACCCCCACCTGTGGACGTCGGGCCCTCATACCACCCTCATGGAGTCTGTTTCTGACCGTTTGAGCAGACACATGCACATTTGTGGCCTGCTGGAAGTCATTTTGCAGGGCTCTGGCAGTGCTCCTCCTGCTCCTCCTTGCACAAAGGCGGAGGTAGCAGTCCTGCTGCTGGGTTGTTGCCCTCCTACGGCCTCCTCCACGTCTCCTGGTAGCGCCTCCATGCTCTGGACACTACGCTGACAGACACAGCAAACCTTCTTGCCACAGCTCGCATTGATGTGCCATCCTGGATGAGCTGCACGACCTGAGCCACTTGTGTGGGTTGTAGACTCTGTCTCATGCTACCACTAGAGTGAAAGCACCGCCAGCATTCAAAAGTGACCAAAACATCAGCCAGGAAGCATAGGAACTGAGAAGTGGTCTGTGGTCACCACCTGCAAAACCAGTCCTTTATTGGGGGTGTCTTGCTAATTGCCTATAATTTCCACCTGTTGTCTATTCCATTTGCACAACAGCATGTGAAATTTATTGTCAATCAGTGTTGCTTCCTAAGTGGACAGTTTGATTTCACAGAAGTGTGATTGACTTGGAGTTACATTGTGTTGTTTAAGTGTTCCCTTAATTTTTTTGAGCAGTGTATATACACTACCAGTCAAAAGTTTGGACACACCTACTCATTCAAGGGTTTTTCTTTCTTTTTTACTATTTTCTACATTGTAGAATAATCAAAACTATGAAATAACACATATGGAATCAAGTAGTAACCAAAAAAGTGTTAAACAAATCAAAATATATTTTATATTTGAGATTCTTCAAATAGCCTTCCTTTGCCTTGATGACAGCGTTGCACACTCTTGGCATTCTCTCAACCAGCTTCACCTGGAATGCTTTTCCAAAAGCTTTTCCAAAATATGCTTAGCACTTGTTGGCTGCTTTTCCTTCACTCTGCCGTCCGACTCATCCAAAACCATCTCAGTTGGGTTGAGGTCGGGGGATTGTGGAGGCCAGGTCATCTGATGCAGCACTCCATCACTCTCCTTCTTGGTAAAAGAACCCTTACACAGCCTGGAGGTGTGTTGGGTCATTGTCCTGTTGAAAAACAAATGATAGTCCCACTAAGCCCAAAAGAGATGGGATGGCGTATCGCTGTAGAATGCTTTGATAGCCATGCTGGATAAGTGTGCCTTGATTTCTAAATAAATCACAGACAGTGTCACCAGCAAAGGACCCCCACACCATAACACCTCCTCCTCCATGCTTTACAGTGGGAACTACACATGCCGGAGATCATCCATTCACCCACACCGCATCTCACAAAGTCACTGCGGTTGGAACCAAAAATCTCCAATTTGGACTCCAGACCAAAGGACAAATTTCCACCGGTCTAATGTCCATTGGTCGTGTTTCTTGGCCCAAGCAGGTGTCTTCTTCTTATTGGTGTCCTTTAGTAGTGGTTTCTTTGCAGCAATTCGACAATGAAGGCCTGATTCACACAGTCCCCTCTGAACAGTTGATGTTGAGATTTGTCTGTGACTTGAACTCTGTGAAGCATTTATTTGGGCTGCAATTTCTGAGGCTGGTAACTCTAATGAATTTATCCTCTGCAGCAGAGGTAACTCTGGTTCTTCCATTCCTGTGGTGGTCCTCATGAGAGCCATTTTCATCATAGCACTTGATGGTTTTTGCGACTGCACTTGAAGAAACTTTAAAAGTTCTTTAAATGTTCCGTATTGAATGACCGTCATGTCTTAAAGTAATGATGGACTGTCGTTTCTCTTTGCTTATTTGAGCTGTTCTTGCCATAACGTGGACTTGGTCTTTTGCCAAATATGGCTATCTTCTGTATACCTGACCCCCCCACACACACACCTTGTCACAACACAACTGATTGTCTCAAACGCATTAATAAATAAATACATTCCACAAATTAACTTTTAACAAGGCACACCTGTTAATTGAAATGCATTCCAGGTGACTACCTCATGAAGCTGGTTGAAAGAATGCCAAGAGTGTGCAAAGCTGTCATCAAGACAAAGCTCTAGCAGGGCAGAAATTTGACGAACTGACTTGTTAGAAAGGTGGCTGTCACGTCTCCTCCTGTTGCTCCCCTCCGGCACTCTGATTCGCCGGTCTACTGAGCCACCGGTATGAGTGCACCATCTCGGCTACACCGGAATGGAAACCCAACGCACCCTAATCACCTCCAGCGCACCTGCACCTCATCATCTCATCACCACCCCTATTTAGCCCTGGACTGTTCTGGATGATGTTGTGTGTGATTGTTTAGCTTCGTGTCGTTTACTCTATCTTTGTTATTTCTCTTGCTCATTGTTAAGTACACCTTGACCTTGTTAATTCCTGCGTCTGCCTCTTTGTATACTCAGTACGCGTCACAGAATTACACACCAAATGAAAATGGATGCAGCAGGTGTTTTTCCGAGTGCCTCGACCAGCAACAGCTTTCCCAGTTGAACGCCGCCATGCAGAAAGTGCTCCAAACTCTGCATAATCTGCCCGGCGCTCCGGTTCCACCTCGGGGAGCGCGAGTGCCCCCAATCCACCTGTTCCCGTGCTATCACCCACTCCTGCGGGAACCCTCGCCCTACCGGAGCGCTATGACGGTAAAACTACTAAATGTAGCGGCTTCCTGCTACAGGTTTCCCTTTATCTGGCGCGTCAGCCTGGGGCATATCCATCTGACCAAGCCAGGATAGCGCTGGTGATTTCGCTTCTTAAAGGAAAGGCACTGGATTGGGCCACGGCAGTCTGGGAAGGAGAGGAGGCAGTAGCACTTCCCTACCCCACCTTCCTCGCTAGGTTCATGGCGGTGTTTGATCATCCCACAGAGGGAAAGGACGGGGGTGAGCGTCTCCTCCATCTACAACAGAGAGAGGGGCCCGCGTCCGAGTACGCTCGTCTTCTGGCTGGAATGACCATGCTCTGCGCACGGCCTTCAGGAGAGGCTTACGGGAGGACATCAAGACGGAACTCGCATGTCGGGACGACGAGATGGACCTTGATACCCTCATCACCACGTCCATCCGTCTTGACGACATGTTGAGAGAGAGACGGCGTTCCCAACACCTCCCGGAGCCTCGACGCTCACCCCATCTGAGCTATGGAAGCCGCCCTGCTTCCGAGTCCATTCCCATGGGGGGCCAGTATGAAAAAAATAAAATAATGTATGCACTCACTAACTGTAAGTCGCTCTGGTTAAGAGCGTCTGCTAAATGACTAAAATGTAAAATTGCTACAATGTAAAAAATTGCAAAAATAAAGAAAAACCCTTTAATGAGTAGGTGTCCAAACTTTTTACAGGTAATGTATATAGCCTTCTTTTTTTTTTTTGTTCAGCACTTATTGTGTACTTTATGTAGCATGATCCTTTTTTTAATCAATATAATCTGTATCAAAAAATGTTTAGAGGAGAAAGAGACTTTTCCTATTCAGCGTACTGAAAATTAAGCATGTCAAAGCATGTTTGTGCTATTCTAATCTCGCTTGGGGAAGCCTGTGCTTCCGATGCTAATACTTGTCTAAACAAATTTCGAGTATAGGTGGGAGGTGTATGATTATCTTCCAAAGCTCTAGAAAATGCAAGTCAAGTCGCTCTTGATAAAAGTTTCTGTTAATTGACTCAAATCTAATGTACACATAAAAAACAAAGGGCACAAAACCAATTTTGGGGTTTTCAAAGGCACATCCTGCGCTATGGTATTAAAAGGAGTGTCAATTGGTAACAATTTCAATATGGAAACAAAGATATACACCTCTACATCTGAACTTGTACAGTGCCTTTCATATTGGCAGACACATTTAAAACACACAACACAGAATCAACAATCAACTGTGAGATTCATGGGTCAAATGGTTAGATACAGTTTTTGGATTGCCCTTTTTTCATGGTAAATTTAAACTTTACCCCCATGCTTGCTGCTTAACTGTTAGCTAAACCCAATCCTGTTTTAAATATAATTTTATAACAGATTTTCTCAATAGGATAGAGGCTTTGTTTGTGGGTAAATTGTAATGTTTTCACTTACCCTCAGTTTCTGTATTTATCCACAGGGGAAGTCAAAATGAGGGCGGACAGGAGGGTTGATATACCAGTTTATGACATTTCACTGCTCAGAAACATTTGGGAAGGCAGAGTGAAAAAATACAAACACAAGCAGAAGAAGGAACGCGAACGAGTACAGCAAAGCGCTCTGGCAAAGTATGTTTATTAATCAAAACTGAGGTTTGAGAACCATATCCTAGATATATTCTCATATTATTCTCATAAGGAAAATTCAACCCAAAAACTATCTTTAGGTATTTGTATCATTATTCCATTGTTAATATAGTCCCAATTTTCTTTTGCATGTCAGCAATCAAGTTAACATATATAACTTTCAAAATAGAGAAATACAGCTGGTATGATGCATTGTGCATCATATGATGCAAATCGCAGCATTATATGATTCAAAATGCATCATACCGGCTGTATTGCTGTAAGTTATATATCTTGAAAATGTGATTTCTGACATGCAAAACATATTGGGACTATACCAACAATGTACTAATGAAACAAATACCGAAATATAGGGTGGAGTTTTCCTTTAAGTCACCTAGATTACCAGTCTGTTTGTGCCATCATGCAACTCCTTGTTTTGAGCGGCAAAATATTTGGTATGACAAGAAGACTGGACAACGAGTGGCATGATGGCACAAACAGACTGGTACCCAGGTAAACTAGATTCACCTGAGCTATGTGATAATGACTACATCCAACACCAGTGTCTTCCTCATTGCTCTCATCCAGACAATGTATTTTCAACAATTGATGTTGCTGTGATGATCTGTGCGAACCATGCCTTTTGTAAATAAGCTACTACACAACTGTCAATGTTTCTAGAAAAACCTTTAAATGTTTTTCCCAAGGATCGATCAGCAATGGCAGTATCGCATAGCATGCAAGAAATTGAAGTCCAACGAAGTGGAAGTGCTCCAACACTACCTGGAGAGAACCGCTCTGAATGAAATTCAGCCCCACCAGGATGTACCAAACACAGGCAAGCTCAGCCAGATCCTTTACTGTTAGGTATCTGTTGTTAAAACAATGAAATCATTAGGACAGCAATCCCACATGTCCCGTGAACATTTTGAAAATCTATACAAAAATTAAACACTGAAATATCCTATTTACATAAGTATTCAGACCCTTTACTCAGTACTTTGTTGAAGCACCTTTGGCAGCGATTACATTTTCGAGTCTTCTTGGGTATTACGCTACAAGCTTGGCACGTGTATTTTGAGTTTCTCCCATTCTTCTCTGCAGATCCTCTCAAGCTCTGTCAGGTTGGATGGGGAGCGTCGCTGCACAGCTATTTTCAGGTCTCTCCAGAGATGTTCAATCGGTTTCAAGTCTGGGCTCTGGCTGGGCCACTCAAGGACATTCAGAGACTTGTCCCGAAGCAACTCCTGCGTTGTGTGCTTAGGGTCGTTGTCCTGTTGGAAGGTGAACCTTCGGCCCAATCTGAGGTCCTGAGCGCTCTGGAGCAAGTTTTTATCAAGGATCTCTCTGTACTTTGCTCCGTTAATCTTTCTCTCGATCCTGACTAGTCTCCCAGTCCCTGCTGCAAAAAAAACATCCCCACAGCATGATGCTGCCACCACCATGCTTCACCCGTAGGGATGGTGCCAGGTTTCCTCCAGACGTGACGCTTGGCATTCAGGCCAAAGAGTTCAATCTTGGTTTCCTCAGACCAGAGAATGTTGTTAGGTGCCTTTTGGCAAACTCCAAGCAGGCTGTCATGTGCCTTTTACTGAGGAGTGGCTTCCGTCTGGCCACTCTACCATAAAGGCCTGATTGGTGCAGTGCTGCAGAGATGGTTGTCCTTCTGGAAGGTTCTCCCATCTCCACAGAGGAACTCTAGAGCTCTGTCAGAGTGACCATCGGGTTCTTGGTCACCTCCCTGACCAAGGCCCTTCTCCCCCGATTGCTCAGTTTGCCCGGGCGGCCAGCTCTAGGATGAGAATTGGTGGTTCCAAACTAATTCCATTTAAGAATGATGGAGGCAACTGTGTTCTTCGGGACCTTCAATGCTGCAGACATTTTTTGGTACCCTTCCCCAGATCTGTGCCTCGACACAGTCCTGTCTCGGAGCTATACGGACAATTCCTTCGATCTTATGGCTTGGTTTTTGCTCTGACATGCACTGTCTACTGTGGGACCTTATATAGACAGGTGTGTGCCTTTCCAAATCATGTCCAATCAATTGAATTTACCACGGGTGGACTCCAAGTTGTAGAAACATCTCAAGGATGATCAATGGAAACACGATGCACCTGAGCTCAATTTCGAGTCTCATAGCAAAGGGTCTGATTTACTTATGTATTTCTGTTTTTTATTTGTAATACATTTACAACATTTTCGAAAAACCTGTTTTCGCTTTGTCATTATGGGTTATTGTGTGTAGATTGAGGATTTTTTATTTATTCAACCCATTTTTAAATAAGGCTGTAACGTAACAATGTGGGAAAAGGGAAGGGGTCTGAATAGTTTCTGAAAGCACTGTATATCTATCTGAATAAGTACTTGTTCCATAGTTACTATGCTCTCTCTCAATGCCATGCTCCACTCTTTAACTGACTGTTTCATCCTACAGATGCAAACCCCATATTTGAGGACATCAAATTCATTTTTGAGCTGGATGGTGATAAATGGACGGTAAATTGTCTCATACCATCTCATTCTTTTTCATCATGATTGTTTTCAGATAAAATCACTACCACTGTATGTATCCACACACTTGTTGTTTTCATGTTGTATTACTTTCAATGCAGGAACTTCCTGATAATCTTCTTGATACGACATACCTTCGAGAATGGCACATACGAAGAACTAAAATCTGCAAACTACCAGAGTGGATTGTGCAGTTTCCGGACCTCTGCGTATTGGATATACCCCAAAACGGAATTGACAAGCTGCCAGTTGAAATAGGTAATTATTATTTATCATGCATGTCCTCCTAATTGAAAATAAGAAAGTTGAAGTCTTTCTTTGTTACATTAGCTCATTAAACATCCCTAATTTGAATTCAATTGAAATGGGATTTAGAGTATAGCTGTTTCTTCATTCCATTACATGTCTTTCCTATGTTTTTTTGTCAGGTCAATTAACAAAGTTGAGGGTGCTGAAAGTGAATTACAATAGGCTGTCCAGTATTCCTCCAGAACTTGGTGAATGTGAGAATTTGGAGAGATTGGAGCTAACTGGAAATTATCTTGAACAGTTGCCTTTTGAGGTAAGGGGTATTTGTGTGATATGGCTTGTGTGGTATGATATCTTCAAAAGCGCCTTTATACCATGTTCTAACATGAGCCCATTTTCCTGATTTTGTTCAGTTTCCAATTGTGACCAACATTTTTTGACAGGTGTAGACAATCAAAATACACATTGTGATCTGATTGTGATCAGATCTTCCTGCCCACCTCCGGAAGTAGTCAGGCACACATTGGATCTGGATATCTTAGAAGTGTAGACAGATCTGGGCCAGGTTTCGCAGTTGTGACACAACTTAAGCATTACGATGATAGTACCAGATGCAGTGTTTCCCAAGTTATTTATTTTTAAGTGTTTCCCAAACAAGCACGTAGAGTGATTCTGTAAGTGTGACAGCTAAGAGCATTGTTTTTTTCACATGATCTCGTTGGGGGAGCTGTCCAGTTCCCTGGTGCTGAAATCACACACACAACTAATAGCCCACATTTCACAGATTAGTTTTATGAATGAAAATAAATAATCAAACCATTTGTCATGTAATGTTAAATTGATTTGAATCTGTCGTCTTCTTTCTACAGTGCTTTAGCTCTATTGCTGAGCGATCAACCGAAATGTCGGTTATTTTTCTTTTTTTTTAAACAACAAATTTAATGTTGGTAGTTATTCTTTCTGTGAGCTCAATGCGCACATTGCACAGTTTCTCTAGAGATCAATCAGATCAAGCAGGCTATGGTGTGAAATAGGATTTTAGAAGTGGCGTCTTTATTTTATTACTTACCATTAATGCCGTCTTTTGTGTGCTTATCAATATACGAGCACCTTTTTTCAAGTTTTACCTTTTAATGTCACATGCAGTACAGTGAAATGCCTTTCTTGCAAACTCAAAACCCAACAATGCAATAATCAATAACAATGCAATACTAGAAGAAAAAAAACACAAGAAATAAGAACAAATATGAAGAACACAATAGGTAAGCATACTATACACAGGGTCAGTTCCAACCACATTTACGATGTGCAGGGATACTGGCATGATGGAGGTCAAATCAAATCAAATTTTATTTGTCATATGCGACGAATACAACAGGTGTAGACCTTGCCGTGAAATGCTTACTTACAAGCCCTTAACCAACAATGCAGTTCAAGAAATAGAGTTAGGAACATATTTACTAAATAAACTAAAGTAAAGAAAATGAAATAAAATCCAAAAGTAACACATGAAAATTACATAACAATAATGAGGCTATTGTGACGTCACGAGAGGCTACACAGCTTTCAGCGGGATTGCTCAAGTAGTGCAAGGAGACAAGGTGCAAACAAAACAAGGATTTTATTAAAGGTCTTGGGAAATTAACGAAAATATAACAAAATTCTGTTCTCTTGTGGCTCTTTAAGGGTTAACAGTTCAGGGATGTCTCTTCCACATCCAAAATCATAATTCTCACTCGCTCAGATAACTTTTCCCCAGCCTTACTGTAGTCCACGTTCCAGCTAGTGGCCAACCCAGCAAAAAGTCCTTCCAAATGTCTCTCCCGTATTTCCACAGGCGAATATATCCAAAGGTGAGTATTTCCCAAAGGTAAGTATCTCCAAATCCTTATATTCCTCATGGAAGTGGACGTGCAGCACTCTTGTCCTCCAGAGAGCCCAGGTTGGAGACTGTGTTTCTTCACCACCCACACACTCCCCCCTCAGTGTGTCTCTTCCCTTCCAAAACCTTCAGCCCATCAGCTCCTGATTTGTTTCAGCTGCGTGGGAAGATTGGCCATAGAGGGGTGGAGTTCCCGACCATACCAGCAGATGGAGCCATAGCTGTCTGGGTTTGCAGCCATCTCAGGGGGATGTAACGTCCCTCCAGGACACAGCCTCTCGTGACATCACACATCCCCCTCCTCGGGACCGACGTCCTCGTCGGGGTAAAGGCAGCGAAGAAGGCATCACGCCGGGAGAGGGCGTCCGCATTGCCGTGGTGCTTGCCAGCCCTGTGGACAACAGAAAAGTTAAACGGTTGCAAGCTCAAAAACCATCTGGTTACTCTACTGTTTGATTCCTTGTTCTTGGCCATCCAATGCAGAGGGGCGTGATCAGATACCACCATGAAACGTCGGCCCAGGAGATAGAACCGAAGGGACTCCAGGGCCCAGACTACAGCCAGACCTTCTTTCTCCACCGTTGAATAGTTCTTCTCTCTTGGAAGTAACTTTCTGCTTAGGTAGAGAATGGGATGTTCTTCACCGTCATGTGCCTGGGTGAGGACAGCACCCAGACCCACCTCCGAAGCATCCGCTTGGACAATGAATTCCTTCTTGAAGTCTGGTGCCACCAGGATCGGACTGGAGCAGAGTGCTCGCTTCAGGTTGAGGAAAGCCGCCTCCGCCGCAGGGTTCCACTTCACCATTCGTGAGTGGCGTTTGGTCGTCAGCTCCGTCAACGGTGCAGCTATGGTAGCAAAATCTGCAATAAAGCGTCTATAGTAGCCAGCGAGGCCCAAAAATGACCTTACTTGCTTCTTGGTGATGGGCTGCGGCCAGTCCTGTATGGCCCGCAGTTTGGCTTCCTGTGGTTTGACCAACCCCCGCCCAATGGTGTACCCCAGGTAGTTTGTCTCACTGAAGGCCAGCTTGCACTTCTTCGGGTTTGCCGTGAGCCCTGCTTCCCTGAGCGAATCCAGCAACGCTTGTACCCGGGGTATGTGGCTGGCCCAATCCGGACTTTGTATAACAACATCATCCAAATAAGCCGCTGCGTACCTCTTGTGGGGCGCAAGGACTCGATCCATCAGGCGTTGGAAGGTGGCAGGTGCCCCGTGGAGACCA